TGCGGAGCACACGCTGCAGGAGTGCCCAGCGTGGGTTCAGGAACGCGGAGTTTTCACCACAGTGGTTGGCCAGGATCTCCGGCTCCCGAGCATCATACCAAAGATGCTCGAGAGCCGGGAAGCATGGGAGACGGTGGCCTCCTTCTGTCGCGACGTCATGTCGCAGAAGGAGGCCGCCGAACGCGTGAGGAGGGGAGAGGTGGGGGTCGCACCCCCCTCTCCCCCTCTTCTCCTGCCCCGTCGGGGCGGGGGAGTGATGAGGAGGAGGAGGAAGCCCCCCCACCTCGGGTATTGAGGCCGAGGAAGGGCAGATGGCGACTGAGGGCCCACCAGCTCCCCCTGTACCACTTGGGGGGAGCTGGCGGGGCCAGATGAGGGTAAGCCGGGCGGTGTTCGCCTCCGGGAGGTTCTGAGGGGTAACCACTCCCCCACTCTCGGGGGCGGCACCGTCCGGCAAAGAGGAGGGTCTTCAAAGGCCCTAACTCGTGTCCCGGCCTAAGCCCGGACACGTGGGCGGGCGCGATCAGCGCGCCTGCCCGGGCCGCCCAGAACCAGGCGGCCCCTCTGGCGGACTCCCCCCCTCGGGGGTGGTAACGGTCAGCCGCACTCTGCGGCAGAATTAACCTCCCCCCGTGGGTTAGGGGCAGGGGAGGGGATCGGGAGCGGGCGGGTAATCCCGCTCCCGGCCCATCTCAACCTCCCGACTCGGACGGAGGGGCTGCGAGGAGGAAGGTGTCCCCTCCTCGTAGCCAACTAGGAATACAAAGCGCCGGCCGACTAGGCCGGCGCGGGAAGAAGCGCGCAAGCGCAAAGGCGCCGAGGGCCCCCTGAAGAATACTAGAAAGTGTACCGGGGGGCCCTCGAATAACGGCGCACGTGTTGGACATCCCCAGGGGTTTTAGTGGGTATACCTCCCCCATTTTCTAGGGGAGGGAGTCCCACATACCCCCGGAGGCTTACCCGAGCCTCCGGGGGATGCGTAACGCATTTCCCCTGGGTCAAAAAAAAAAAAAAAAAAAGGGGTCTCCGTAATAAGCATGGGTTGCCGAGTCTTTACGCGTACTAATTTCTTCAACTGACAATTTTGACATTGCTGGATATATTTTTGGATATCAGATTTCATACTCGTCCAATAATATTTTTGTTTGATTCGGAGGTAGGTTTTAGTCATTTCTTTGTGTCTTGCTACAGCTGACGAGTGATTTTAGTCGATTATACGTCGTCTGTCGTCGGGAGGGGGAACAAAGATCTCGTTGGTACATACGATAAGTTTTATAGTGGTATCTTGAAAGATATTGGTCAACTTTGGTCTTATAGTAACCCAAGAGACGATGTCTACGTCACCCTTAGAGATAGAGATGGTTTCTAGATTTAATTCTGTGCATACGTCTAGCAGTGAGTGTATTGCCTCTGTTACGAACTCTTCTTCCACAAGGGATGACACTTGGGTTTTTATTATTAACGATATAATGTTATATCTATTACTTTTATTTACTCGTGCATGACCTACTGTAGCGTTCGCGAATGTAGGCAGTCGGTTTTGTTCGAGGAGCATTTCGGCTCCTTTTGAGATGTGAATATCACTAAATTGTCTCTGCGCGTGGTGAAATTATCCTTGATTTCTATCGCTCTAAATTGGCCAGCATTAGATTCGTCTATGTCGCCGTGTTGGACCGTCACGGTACTGCTTGTATCGTCAGTGTAGTCGTCATTCATGTCGTCTTCACATATATCTGTATCAACGTTGTTTAGAGGATCGGCGGGGACTTGAATATCGTCACACTCGGCGACATCGAATGAGGGTTGGGGTGAGAATAATGAGTAGTCGAAAACTAAGTTGTCGGAAAAGTGACTTACCGGAAGAATTTGCCGTGCCGGTGGGTTTCGCGATAGTGCGTCCGCATTTGCATTTATCGTACCTTTCTTGTAAACGACCTCGTATTTATATTCTAGCAGTTTTAATCGCCATCGGGCTAACCGCGATGTAGGATCCTTTACCGAATGCAACCACATAAGAGATTTGTGGTCTGTAACGAGTGCGAATTTTCGTCCATATATGTATGGTCTGAAATAGTGTATGCAGTACACTATCGCTAACAATTCTTTTTCAATAGTAGAATAGTTCTGTTCTACCGTGTTCAGAAGACGGGACGCGTACGCTATAGGAAGATCTTTCCCGATGGAGCCCTGACTTAGTATACCTCCTATGGCAAATCCTGACGCGTCGGTTGTAACGACGAAGGGTTTAGTGAAGTCGGGGTATTGTAATATCGACTTCGCGCGTAACAAATCACGTAATTTTTTGAATGCTAGTTCTTGAGGCTCTTCTCAAGTAAACGTTATATCCTTTTTCAACAAACTGGTAAGAGGCTTCGTGATTTTAGAAAATTCTGGAATGAACCGACCGTAATATCCGGCGAGACTTAAGAACTGTTTGATGTTTTTTGCATTATTAGGTTTTGGGAATTCTCTTACGGCCTGTATTTTGGCGTCGTCGGGTTTAACTCCTGTTTCGCTAATTTTATGACCTAGGTAGGTTACTTCTTTTCTAAAGAATTCGCATTTATCCGGTTGGAGCCTTAAGTTAGCTGCCCTAAGACGCTCTGCTAACCTTGCGAATTTAGTTTCGTTTTCCCTAAGCGAACTCGCATACAACACAATGTCGTCTAAATAAACGAATAATTCTGTGCCTTGTAAACCCGTTAGTACTTGATCCATGAGCCTTTGGAACGTCGCGGGGGAATTATTTAAGCCGAATGGCATGCGGTTGAATTGATAGTGCCCGTAAGGTGTTGAAAATGCCGTCTTTTGCGCGTCAGGCTCATGCATCCTGATCTGATGAAATCCTGATGCTAAATCAAATACGCTAAAATATTTCGCGCTGCCTAGTTGATCGAGAATTTCTGTGATGTGAGGTAAAGAATAAGAATCATCTACGGTTTTTTGCTCTATAGTCTATGACCATTCGCCAACGTTTGTTACCTTTTAAATTTGGCTTCTTAGGAACGATCCATAAGGGGGAGTTGTAAGGAGAATTCGAAGGCTTGATAATGTCATTTACTAAAAGCCCTTGTACTTGGCAATTTATTTCCTCTTTATGGATCGGCGGGAAGCGGTATTGCTTAGTATTAATCGGATTGTCGTCCGTTGTCTTAATTCTATGCTCGATGAGAGTCGTACAGCTCAAGCGGTCTTCAGGTAATAAGAAAATGTTGCTATATGTCTGCACTAATCCTAGGACGTGCGAAGATTCCTCTCCGTTAAGATGTTTGAGGCGTAAGAGTTTCTTTATTTTATTGCTTCGGTTTTACGGCTCCGATGGTTGTGTCATCGCAAATATATATTTTTTTTTTTGGACGCACGGTTGTACCCTAATCTCTAAGGCAGAGGTATGATCACGCGCGTCTTTATTACCTAAAGGCGGTAAATCTTGTTCGTTTTCGGTAGAATCGGGACAGGATTTAGATATGTTCTCGATTTCCTCTATTTCTACGCATGGTACAGGGATTTCGTATGCAGCTTCTCCTGTATTTATAGCTTCTATATAAGCGATCCTATTCCGTTCCTATTCGTGACAACGGCATCTCCTAAATAGATGTCGTTATTTATTGTAATTCACGGCACGTATCCTTCCCGGACATCGCGATTCTTCACACGTAATGGAAATGTTGTTCGCGTTCTCGCAGGGATCACTACGGTTTCGGCGTGCGAAAAGGGAATAGAGATCCCCTGCCATACAACGGATTGGCCACGGAAATCTATCTGATCCGCGTCTTTTAAGAATTCGGAAACCAGTATCCCGTCCTGGGTGATAGGGAAATTATTGTCCACTACGTGGAACTTAATATTATTTCCCATGCACTTAATTATTGTTGACCCGAGCGTTTTCAACGTACCATCTAGCGTAAACCGATCGCACTTATACAACGCGAGATACACATTACTAAAGCCATCTATTGAAAAAATAATGGATTTCTTTTTACTACACCTTATATAAGCAAGGAAAGAAAAATAATATTAAATTGTATAATATATTCCACACACACGCACATGCACCACAAACATATAAACACTTCACTTTGTTAAGGATCACCAGTCAATTCACTTACATTTTGCACTGCCGTAGTTTGTATTATCAAAGCACTTTATCACTAATTAAACTAATAGCTCTTTTTAAAGTATTAATATCGAGTTCTTCACAATTTTAGATCCATCGTGTTACCCACGTCTTAGAGATTTTGGTCTTCGAATTTTCTCCATGTCTGGATCTACATATTTATGTGAATGCTCTTTTTCGAAAATGAATTTTACAAAGACAGCCACACGTTCTTCTTTGAACGATGCATCACTGTCTTCGTTGATGCGAGCTAGTTCTTCCAAAATTTCTGTGGATATACCATCTTTAGTACAATCGTGTAAACGATCTAGGAAACATTAAGATTGGCTGATTTTTTTTCTTCTATGATTAGAATTTTTTTTCTTCCGTATATATCTTATAATATAAAATTTCGCTTTTCTGCCGAGTCATGTCATTAATTTTAATTTATTTCTAGTGGAATAGGCTTACAGGGGAAACCACTTAAAAAAAAACGCATCAACAATAGTATCTCATGGGTGATGTGGAAATCTATTATCAAAATTACAAAACAGATACACACACACACACGCATTATATTCGATATAAAATTATATATGTGTGTGTGTGGGTGTGTATCTACAATATATTACACATAAATAATGTAACATTATATTATT